CAGCATCTTCAGAGAGCAGGAGCACAGACAGGAGCAGTTCTCTCTGTGCCGAGGGTGATATGGCCCTTTTGTGGGTATTTGTAGAGATCTCACAGGTGGGTATTTATATAGACATCACAGGTGCTGGCGAAATGTTAGGAAACAAAACTTCCAGAACACAGCCACACAGCCTGGAAGACCCACACCAGCCACAGACTAGTTAAAGCTTTGAAGAATTTTGTGAGAAGTTCTAGGACATTATTTGAAGGGACTAAAGATCAAGATTGTTAAAAGTAAAAGGAATATAAAATTGGTTTATTTGATCAAGGTTGAAACAGGTATATTCTTATCTCTTGTTCTAACCCTTAGTGGACTTTTGCTGACAAGGACTGAAAGACAAGGTTTTAAGGATTTATTTACAGATAAAGAGATGAGATATGGGAAGAAGAGATCATTTGTTGTATTTTAAGAGAAGGTGATAAGTTACTAAAATTGTTTATACTTGTGATGAAGGGGAAGTCACTTCTATATATTTCTTTTCTTTTTATTATATTCTTATTTTTTCTTTTCTTTTTTTGTATTTTAAGAGAAGGTGATAAGTTACTAAAATTGTTTATACTTGTGATGAAGGGGAAGTCACTTCTATATATTTCTTTTCTTTTTATTATATTCTTATTTTTTCTTTTCTTTTTTCTATTTTTAACTTTTCTGCACTTTTCTTTTTATTCTTTTATTTTTTGTAGTTTGCATTAGTTTTTATCTTTTTAATTGTAATGTTTAATTGTAAAAGGTATTTGTTATATACTACAGGTTTTGATTTTAAGCTGATTACTTAATATTAAAATCTCCCTTGTACTGTTACTTAGTATGTGCGTGTGTGCCTGTATTTATTTATACATGTTAATAAAAGGAAAAAATAGATAAACAGAGCAAATTTAACAATTATTAAAAAGAAAAATTAAAAAAGAACTATTGGGTTTCTGACTCCCCCCTTTTTATACAACTGCTAATTTGCAATATTTGTAAACATTTATATATTTCAGAAGTTAATAAGCATTTTTAAAAAATACAGTTCATTTTACATAAATTGCTCTGATTGTGCAAAATTAAAGGCTCATGGGTCTAGAATGCACTTCATGCATAAGCTGGCAAGAATTATTTGGACAATGCTATCATATTCCCCCTCAATGTTTTTTTCTCAACATTCTTAGTTCCTTCAATCTTACTTCCTCAGACTTAGTTTCTTGTCTCCAAAAATCATTTTTGCGTTTCTCTGAACCTGGTGCAGTTTCTCTGAATCCTTCTTAAAGTGTAATGTGCAAAACTAGGCAAAATACCCAAGGCATGATGTGACCATACAGATTAAGCACATCAGTCATTTTCCATCATTATATTTCTGTTGATATATAAAAAGTTGAAGGGTACATGGTCTATTGCATCTGCTGGGGGTTTTTTTGCAGAGTTCTTCACTTAAGTTTAAAGAACTGTTTCATTCTGCCATTTCCATTTTTCTAAATTTTCAAACTAGATTTGAATTTTAATTCTGCCTTCTGTCCATCTCATCTAATTCTATCTCATCTGCAAACCTAATAACCATCTCTTCTTTATATCTCAACTATTAATAAAAAAAATTGAAGGATACATGGCCCAGAGCTGAACTCTGTGACACCCCCTCCAGTTTGATGAAGAACTGATGATGCTTTGATATAACTTTTGAGTCAGATTATCTATCCATTTAATTGGTTAATAGTTAAGTAGTCTATTAATCAGAATGTCACTGGATTCTTTGATAAATATGGTAGTTGAAATGTTCACCATTTGCTGAAATTAAGTTATATTCGGTTTGCAGCATTTTAAAATCTAATAAGGAAGTTCAAAGCTAGATAAGTTTAGTCTAGTAAGACTTGTTCTTGACAAATCCATGCTGACTACTGCATTGTTTTTAAGGTGCTCAAATCAGCTCTCCTTATGATCTGCTCTAGAGTTTTCCCAAGGTATTAATACATATATCTAGCCTCCATCAATCATCTGGTAGTTCACCGGTTCCTAGGATTTTTCATAGTTAATATGTAAATGTTCAGTCACACTATTAAGTCTCTTCAGTACCAATCCAGTTCTGGAGATTTAAATCAACTGAAAAAATTAGGTTTTCCCTGACCATGTTTCTACCCCATCTTAATGAAGAAAAGCACTGGAAGAGCATAATGATTAATGCAACAACAAATGTAAGCCCATTAAAACCTGATACTTTATTTATTAGTGTAAAATCACAACTAAAGGGTTCTTACCATTCCAGGGCATCACACTATATAAGAGATTGAAATACAATGCTTACTTTTCATCAGATGAGGATTCTTGCTCAATCTTCATCCCTTCTGAAAGACTTCCTTTAAATTTATCTTCTATTTTGCTCCTGCTCCGCCGTCTACGGCCACCTCGTGATCTGGATCGTCTTCTCAAACGAGATCTACTGCGTCTACCCCTATCTCTGAAAATGGATTTTTAAAAATGAAAAATGTACTTTTATAACAACTACCATATTTAGTTTTGTTTGAAATTATTATTTTACAATTCAAAGAGCAAAATTGCTTGAAAGAGGGCACTATATCACTGATAAGATAGCATAATAAAGTTTTTCTGACATAGCAGTAACGCCAGGGTATCATGATGCCTTCCAGAAGTTTTGCACTAACTGTATGGCAGACAATCAGAAACTACAGAATCTGTAGTTTAAAACATCTAGATGAACAACCTTACCTATTTTGCCTACCCTGATATCAGGATGATATTGTACTTTTATTCAAAAATTTATTGACAAAAAGGAATACAGTATAATCTGAAATGAGGGATACCTTAGGTATGAATTCAGAAAAAGTAAAATCAACTAGAAAAGAACTATTATTTAACATACATGATAGAATTATACTGCATCATGTAACAGGACTTTCTCCTCCCCACTGCAGTGCATTACACATTCTCACAACCTGCTTCAGATGGCTAGGAGAGCATATTTCAGGATAGGAGTTTATTTTGATGACAGGTGGAAGCTTGGTGGGGAAAATCAATCACATCATGCTGATGGAAAATACCACTTGTATGGTGCTTATTTCTGCTTTCAAACTAAACCGCTTACATACCTCCTCCGGGGAGATCTACTTCTCCTTCTTGGAGACCTGCTACGTCGAAGGGGAGAGCGGGATCTTCGTCGAAGGGGAGACCTGGATCTTCTTCTTGAAGGAGACCATCTAGGTGGACTGGCATCTTTTGATCGCTCCCGTCTAGAGAGGATATCATCTCTAGTTCGCGTTCTTGAAGTGGGCAAAAGAAATAAAAAAGAACTATAATCTTACATATAAGTCACTTTAAAAGTTTAATCTGAAACTAAACTATAAAGGAATATATAACAAATTTAAACAGAAGAAAAATGTTAAAGAACTGGAAGATTTTGCTTCCTAACTCAGGTTTAACTCAGCTCATGTTCTCCAAATGTTTTGAATACAAATCTCATATTCTCTAATGATTAGCCACCTAACTGAGCTTTGATAGAAACTGTAGTTCAAAAGTGTAGAGGATATCAGGTTGGAAAGTTTTTCACAAGTTCTGGAGTATATACAGGGTTTATTTATATCTGACAAAGAATTACATATAACTCAGGACTTATTTCCTATTTTACATGTTAAAATAGAGAATCTAGAAAGTGGAAGCATTTTAAAGATAGTGTTGTTTCTAAAGAATGGAACAACATGATTTATCAGCACCTAAATTTGCATGAAATGTTTAAACTGCCTCTTCATATGCATTAGTTTGAATCTTCCACACTTGTGCTTATGTAGGTATATCTCCTCCCTCCCATATAAACACAAGAGAGAGACACACACAGAAAGGAAGAGCAACAGACTCAGCGGACTCCCAAACTTTGCAGAGTATAAAGAAGGGGGAGGGGAGATATTTTAAAAACATACAATAAAGCAGAGTTATCACTACTGTACAGATTCTTTCTCTGAAGTTTGCAGTAATGTCAAAAATGCTAAAATCATTAATGCACATGACAGGCTACAGGAGGCATGTCTCTCTGTAAATCTGTCATGAAGAGCCCAAACACCCAAACAATCACTTTGTTCTACTGAGCCGATAAGCAGAACCTGAGAATAGGAGTTAGTTTAGTTTCCCATACAGTATAAAGATTTTCCCATAGGAGAAAGAAATGGGGGGCTGCTGAACAGATAAAGGAAGGTGTAGTCTTGAAAAACAGAACTCCATGAACAGGAACAGGAAGATACTAATAAAGGACAGCTGTTGCTAGCAATCTAAGGTGAATCTAGATAGCGTTGGCAATGTTGGCTGATCCCAAGATGGACTAGGGAGGGTGGATCTAAGTCAGGAGTTTTACTCTGAGAGGAACTCAAAGACTCCTGAAGTGGAGCATGGTACAATTCAGAGAAGTGAGCTGAAGATTGGAGACCAATCTACCCGCACAGAAGGCTCGGGGGAAGAATCCAGAAGAGAAAGACCAAGTTCTACCAGCCAGAGATTGAGCAAAAATGTAATTACTGAGTACATACATAAGCATTTAAGCTGCATAACATTCACTAGAGAGTTCCCTTTAACATGTATTTTAAATCTCAAGCTGTGGCTTTATTCCTTCTCTGTTCACAGTATATTCTAAACCTCAAATTGTGGTTTCATTCCTACCCTGCTGACTGTTAGTAAAAAGGAGCAACAAAAATGAGAGAGCCCCTGCTTAGCTTACCTAATTGTACAATATTGTTGCAAAACTAATCTGGGAACAATAAAGTGAAAATGTATAACAGGCTCTACTGTTTTCCCAATTCTTGTAGAAAAATATTTTTAAAAGTTAAGAATAAGTTAAGTTTTTTAAAGCTATGAAAGTAAAGCCAGAATCTGTTATGATGGCTTCACAATTATTACAATAATTTGGTTTGTGAGCAGATAAAAACTGAATTGCTTGCCCTAGCAAAATGCTTCAAGAAAGAAGCTGTTGAGGATAAACCATGATGTATGATTTAAGGGGGGGGGAGGGAGAAAGTAAAATTCATTAGCCATCACATTTTTTTGCCTTCCTGAGCATAGAAACCTGTGTTTCTCTTCAATATACTGCCTTGTATCTGAGCAATATACATCATTGTGGACTACAGAAATGAAGATATGAATTAAAGTGATATGCATACCAATACCAACAAAAAAAGTGTGAACTTTATCCACTACCTTCCAAGACATAAATGGGACTAAAATAGTACATATAGGGTTTGAAGTATAGCACACTAGACAATGTACAAATAGTGTAATTTTACTTACACAAGAATTAGGAAAAGGATTCTTGCAATAACCAAAGCATATCACGAACAAATTTAATCTCCTAATCAGATACAATATTCCTTCATATTATACACCATATTACAATGGCTTTCGGTGTTAGCAAAGTATTAGCTGCTGCCTACGCTTAATCCTCACCTTTAGTCTATAGCAATACTGCAAATAATTCAACAGACATTAGCTTGCTTTCTCACATTCAGTATACTTAAGCTTAACCACACTGCATAAAGTATGGCATAAGGAAAACCTGAAAAATTCGCTTCCCTCCCCCCCAGGTTTCAAAAGCTTGTCATCCCTGAAAAGTTTTCACTTCTATTGGAACCCTTGAAGTTATTTACAACCCTGGTCAATAGAGTACTTCAAGCATTTGATTACTAAATGTCTATCTATGGCTACTTTGTACTTAACCATTATTGTATCTTAGATCTAAGTTAAACTTAATGGATCAGATCCAGAGAGTTCTTCTACTTGTGAAATGAACTTCAGCATAACAGCAGAAGTGCCCTGCTGGATCAGACCCCTGACCCACCTAGCCCAGCAGTCTGTTCTCACGGCAGCCAACCAACTGCACAAGGAAGCCTACTAGTCTCCCAGCATATGGCCTTCAGAGGCAGTCACACAGCCATCATGGCTAATAGCCATCGTTGTCTATGACTTCCATGAATTGGTCCAACTCATTTTTGAAGCCAGCCAAGCTGATAGCCAGTACTACCTCTCATGTTAGTGAATTCCAAAGTTTAATTACACATCGGGTAAAAAAAAAAAAAATCCTTTCTTCTGTCCTGATTCTTCCAGTATTCAATTTCATAGATTTCTTCCAGTATTCATTCCTTGTCTATTTTATCCACACTATCTATAATTTTGTATGCCTCAATCTTATCCCTTCTTGTTCACCTTCATTCTGAAAAGCCCTAAGTGTCACAACCATTCCTCACAGGGAAGCTGCTCTAGCTCCATGATCACCTTAGTTGCCCTCCTCTGAACCTTCTCTAGCTCAACTTTTTGAGGTGCAGAGATCAATACAGTACACAGCATTCCTGATGCAGTTGGACCACTGACATCTCTAGTTTCCATACTGTTTATTATTATCCCTAACATGCTGTTGGCCTTTTTTTTTTTAAACAGAAGATACATGCTGTGTTGACACCTTCACTGAATGGTTTATCATTTACTCCAAGATTTCTTTCCTCATCAAGTCACTGCTACCTTTGATCCCATTAGTTTGTATGGGAAGTTAGGATTTTTGGCATCAATGTGCATCACTTTACACTTGCTCAACCTAAAAAGATACTCCTATTGGAGTTGCTCTTTCCTCACTGCATTTTTTTCCTCGCACTGTTTGCGAGTCTTGCAGGGCTCAGGTCTTCAGGACTAAAGGGAGGGGGGATGTTCCAAAGGGAAGGTGAAATTGAATAAAATCATCTCCACAGAGGAACACTGTAAACCCAATGATTTTTCAAGACTAAACACTACTGATTTAACATTACTATGTATGTGAATAACTTTCAATTATATAGTAGCTTTCTTAAGCCCTACAAGATCTTTGTGTATGTTACACAATTCAAACCTATTCTATTTCTAGACTTTTCAATTGTCTTATTCCAAATCAAGTAAGGCAAGCTAAAACAATATAACTGCTGAGGACATAATTTTCTCTTCTCCTTTTTAAATTAGATAATATATCCTCATATTAGTCACTAGACCATTATTCTCCTTTCTCTGAATTTAAAGAGGAAATCAATCTTATCTCATTTAGGACAACTATGAAAGTATTGGCTCATCTGACTGATAAACACTGTATCCAAAGAAAATAAATTACTCTTATGTCCCAATTCTCATTTAAGTATTTGAGCTTTAGATGACCACCACACACATACAAGTTAAACAATTTGAAAATGAAAGTGGCCAAAAGAAAGAATGGTATGAAGAACCCACTCCCAGAATATCAAATTAATAAAAACTGATATTTAAATACTATCAGATAAAGTATACAAACAGTATGTTGATAAAAAGTGTATTTATAATGGTTACTTATAATCCATGCAAACTCATGAAAATCTTAAATTAAATCATAATTAAAAGACTATACTGATGTTACTGCTTCTATGTTAAATATGAAAAGTGTCAGCTCTGTATTTTAGATTTGATTTTGTGTCTATGCCTGTCACACAAAATGAAAACATAATCACCAATAATTCATTGTCAAGTTCAAAATGTACTTAATCTGTTGCTTCAATTGATGTTCACAATATACTTTCGTGAATCACATCTCACAATGACAATTAAAGATACTTTACACAGAAATAAATTCCACTGAAATTGAAATTCATTTAAAATATGCTGTATTTTAAAATGCAGAAGGCATATTAATATTCAGTGACTGCACACTAATGTAATCATATTGACACATCACTGAACTGATCCTGAAAATAAAATTCTACCAATGAAGACACTAATTAAATTCCAATCTACTTAAGCAGCCTGAGGATTGTTTACTGAAAATATTTTAATTTACATTGTAGCCATCTAGTCCCTGTTTACAGTTTTGCTTATGAACTACAAGAACAGAGAAAAAAATAGAACACAAGCCTAATATCTGCCATAAGAAAATGGTACAATGTTAAGTTAAATTAGAATTCTCAAAATGCAAATATATTTATTACTATATTTAATGTGTTTTTCCACTCCCAACCATATAACCACACCTCAGATTGTCACGTAACCCAGCAATTTATCTGACAATTAGGACCAGATTTAGATGAGGACTTCAGAAGCTCATCAAACTGCTGCTATCTGCCTCCACCTGATACGTCTCTTGTTAATCTCTTGATTTTGCTGCCTTTGCATACAGTAAAAAATTTGTCCTTTTTATTATCAAAATGAGCAGCTCTTATTAGATTTATCCATTTGAATTCACCAAACCTAGAAATATGAAACCTAGCACATTCCAGACATTATAGCCTACCGCTTCTAAGATCTCTTGCTACTAGCCCTGTTGCCTGGGGGCATAGGGGAAGGCACCAGGCTTTCTATCCTGATTCCTTAGAAGAAGATTCCTTCCCATCCAAATGCATATACATGTTACTTTAGACACAGATATCATTTTAAATATAAACCAAAAACATGACTAGACTTGATGATAGTTCCATGACACATACATTGCTCTTAATCCCTTCAATGTAAACTGACTCTTGCCATAGACATGCAGCTCCTTGTGTTTGTTTAACAGAACATATTCTTACACAGAACTGTCTTTAATCTGGGGATTTTCTGTATTGTAGCCATTAGGCAGGTAGTTTCTGTTGAAAATGACAGAATAGCACTGTAGTGGAAACCAATGAAAATGAGTCAATTCATAGTAATACAAGTCACAGACAAAATAAATAAAGCATATGCTTGCAAATTCTAGGGTTCATATTCTCTGCCAACTGACCCGTTCTATTGTATCCTATAAACAAATATAATTGCTAAACTAAAACACAGAAATAATGAATTAGTGTTCTTACAACTATTTTCCATCTTGATATATACCAGAATCACATATATGTAAACTTTTTTTTTATTGCACATTATTTGGGTCCATCCAGATTTCATCTCCTACAAATAGGACTCCTTATTAATGGACAGCTTGAAATACAACAAACAGCCAGAAAGTGACATGACTTTTGATTTCTTATGTCTCCAATACCATGATACATACTATCTTGAAGCAGATTTTTGGAGCATGCAAGGAGAAATATTAGCAAAAGTTATCCTCCACCCCTCTCACTTTCACAATTGTGAGTAAAACCTAAATCAAATTCATTTTTCCCCATTAGCATTACCTGGGAGAAGAAAAACGTCTCCTTTCCGATTCTCTTCTTTTTCTCTCTGCTGATCTGCTCTTTGCTCTCCTACCAGGAGACCGATTTCGAGATGGTGATTTACTCTGCTTAGACCTGCGATCATTAAGGAGGGGTGATCTGCTGCGTCTTAGCTTATCTCGTAGTTTTGGAGATAAACTTCGTCCTTTAGGGCTACGACCAGGTCTTTTACTAGGAGACCTGTTTTCTTTACCTGACGACACATCTTTTGAAGGAGATTTGGTGAGCTTCTTTTCTTTTTCAGTCTCCGATCTCCTGGATTTTCGATCTTTCGATCTTGATTGTCTATCTTTGGATTTGCTTCTTCGTTCTACTGGAGATCTGGATTTTTTGCTACGATCTCTAATTTTATTTTCATTAATAACTGGAGATTTCTTACGATCTCTTGATTTGATTTTATCTTCTGCTTTAGTTTTATCTTCAGGAGGAGACCTAGATTTCCTATTTTTTTCTTGAGAGCGCCTTTTAAGGGTTGGAGATTTTGACTTTCCTATTTGGTCTTGAGACTTTGTTCTTTTAGATGGGCTTTTCGATTTTTTTCTTTCTTTAGATTTACTTCTAGTAGCTTTCTCTTTTATTCCATCAACTCCTGACTTGCTTTTCTTTTTATCAGACCTGTGTCGAGTCCGTTCTTTTGATCTGCTCTTACTGCGTTTCTTTGAACTAGTTTTATTGTCTACAATCTCAAGCTTTCCCTTAACATTTGATGATTTAGTTGCAGATCTAGTTCCATTTCTCACCTTATCATTGATTTCTCCCTCTTCTTCTGAACCTGACTCATATCCTTGCAATATTAATCCCATCCCAGATTGAACCTTTCCTTCCATTAGCTCATTTTCAAGCTCAGCTTTTAATAATGCTCTTTGTTTCTCTAAATCTTCTAGAGGAGCTAAGAAGTCAATTTTAGTTCTTTTTGCTGGCCCATCTTCTTTATCAGAGACATCAGCAACCTCCTTTCGTTTATGTTTCTTATGTTTGTGCCTATGTTTATGCTTTTTGTCCTTATCTTCTTCTGAAGAATGTTTATGTTTCTTATGTTTGCCTCGATGTTTGTGTTTCTTTTTTTTATGTCGGCTGTGTTTAATTTGTGGTTGGTCTCCTTCTGAAATATCCCCATTTTCTTCATTTGCACTTCGCTCAGAAATATCAGCTTCTTCAATTCTGTAAATATATTTCAAAAATCAGAATCTAAATAACTTTAAGTCAACAAAATATTCTTTATGCTATACTTTCCAATCAGACAATTTTTAAGAAGTTTAAACAATTTGAAACATTTTTAGGGTAGAGAGACAACAAAATCATCTGCTGGGCATGCATATGTTTACTTCTACTGCTTAGATCAAATAGATGTCATATTATATAATTCAAATAGCAAAATATGCAGAAAATGGGTGAGAAATTATTTCCAGCTGAAAGCTATATAGATGGAATATTTAGAACTTCACACAAAAAGTAGAAGTGGCAAAGAAAATAGTGAGATGTCAGGGAACCAGGTTTGACACCTGGTGACAAAATGGATAAACATTCTCCCTTCTAAACCTGTTTTTAACAGAAGTGGACAGAAAATTTTCTGGGATTAAAATGTTCCATTTCAGAAAAGTCTGGCACTTTTTAAGATGTATGATGCTTGTTTTACAGGTGATTGTTCTAAAACACTGACAAACTTAAAATACATTGCAACTGCATATTATTTAACTGCTTATTAATCAGTTGTTTCCAACACTGAAACATGGTTTCTTACAACATATTTTTCTCCACTTATCAGAGTTCTTAGTTTCTTTAAATATAATGTCCAAATCTCAGAAAATATGCTAGATTCAATTTTTTTTTTTACCACAAATAATGTAGCCTAATACTAGTGAAGAGTAGGGATATTAAGAAAAATATATAATCATTCTTATTTACATAGTGCTTATTTATACAAATAGATTGCCCTTTTATATCAGAAATCTCACCTTATCAATATCCTTACTGCTTGAGAAAACAAAGAAGGAAATGAATAGGCAAGCTCCCCAAATGTTATATTTATGCCAACCTATCCTCAAATAAGTTTTGTCTGACCACATGATGGGCATGAGTTGTTATGAAAACAATAGCAGTGAGAATCCAGCTTTGAATGAGAAAGTAGCAGTTAATTTAATAAATGAAAGCATATCTAATTCAGCTTGCACTATCCAAACATAAATTACTTCTAATGTCTAATAAACAAATCAGTCTAGTTCAATTTTTTAAAAATTTCCACAAATATCAAGCACATATTATTTACAGTAAAATCTTGATTAAATGGACCTTTCAGAAGGAAGGGGTGGCCTTTAAGTCAAAGATCTATTAAATCCAAAGTAGAAAAAGAGAGAAAATATGGGGCGTGGAATAAAATGAAGAGATAATACAGTTAACCTTGTCTTTCTGCTGCTGTTAATAGTATGGAGAGAAAATGGCTCTGCATGCACACTGGTCAAGGAACAAAAAGGTTCCCCAAATGATCTGTGCCATAAGTGAGAAATGGGGAGCTGCAGAATGGGCTGGAAAGGAATACAGAGGGCAGCAGACAAAGGAATGGAAAATAGCACCTGAGGGCTGAAGTGGTAAGTGGTGAGGAGTGAGGGATAGCCTTTGCAAAGTATCACAGAGGAGGTGGAGAATAAGCACTAAAGAGACATGAAGCACTAAAGAAACATCTATCCCTCCTTCTTGTTGAAATAGAAGATGGGGGGTGATTCAAGGACAGTGAGCAAGAATGCCAGTAGATGCACAGAAGGAAAAACACCAAGGCATGTGCACAACGATAACTATACAGACAGATCAGAACCAACTAATTTGTCCAATATTTTGGGGGTGTAGTCTAATGCAAATTTGGTCCATTGTATTTGAAGTTGTGGTTTCACTGTACTTAGCAATTGTCTAATCAAAAGGTATAGTACTTTAAAGAAGCTGAAACTTAATATTTAGATACCAGACTTTAATGTATGGTTATTAAAAAGGTTATTTAAGACTGGTATGTCATCTTCTCTTTTCATTTTTATATATCTAAGTTATTGTTATAGCTATTTTACCACCCAGTCAATTTCAGGCAAATTTTCTTCCATAAAAATGTGTACACAACAACTTAGAATCTAATGCTAGCCAAACTCATTATGTTGTTGGAGCCCAACTCTCATTAGCCTTCAACACTATATCCAATGGTCAGGGATGATGCAGACTGATCTCTAACGTCCTAGTTATATTTTAGTGTAACTTGTGAAATCAGTCACAGAGAAGGATCAAATTCTTCTAACACTACAGAACACTACTGTAGTCCACTACAGTTTATGGGGAATTTGTGTCAAACCTACATAAAGAGTAATATCTCTCACTTTACAAGTACTCAAAAAGACAGACTGTTACCTGAAGTACATTAGAATAAACAGTGAAATATCAACCATATAGTAGATACACAAAAAAATATCTTTAAGTATATGAAGGCTCACATTCCCAGTTGTATCCAAGTTCCACTTTCCTCAAAAAAACCTATTTTAATTTATTTTCAAATAAGAGTGCATATGAACACTTACTTGTCCTTGATTTTTTTGTTACATACTTCCTCTATGAAAAAATGCCTATCTACTAGTAAGATTATTCCTACTGTGCATGTGTACCTACACATTTGGGAATGTGATATTTACACAGGGACCTACACGTGCATCATCTTTCTACATGATTTAAAGCAGACAAAGAAGGCTTTCTTTTCAAAGGCTCATGTTTTTTTTTTTCTTTTTCCGGCACTCTAACCAAAGGATTGTGGCGAGGGCCTTGGAAGTCAGCAGCCTGTGCAGCCGAAAGCAAGGACTCGGACGAGCCTCGAAGTATATTGTAAGGCCTTCATCTCTCGACTGAGCAGGGAAGCAACGGTAAGGTCAGGACTGCACAACTAAGTGTGACGGATCGAGCAAGGGAGGCCGGCCTCCATACTTAAGAAGAAGCAGATTCCGAGAACTCCAGCGTCAGGCCCAATAAAGGCCGCCTCGCGACCGTTATAACAGCCCGGCAATGGCGCGTTCTCGGCCCTCCGCTCGTTTTTTCCTCTGCTTCCTCGCATTTCCTCGTATGTGAAGCGTGGCTAACAAGGACAGAGAGAGTCTTTATCTTAAAAAAGTAGACTTACCCGCGTCCCCGCATCCCCAACTCCACCACCGTCGCCGCAGCCATTTTGAACTCCCAAACTCCTTCTTCGCCGCCACCACGGAGGACTAGTGAGGAGGTTGGTGAGTGGCGCATGCGCACTACGAACACAAAAACGAGGCGGCAGAAGGTGAAGGCCAAAAAACTTGCTGGTCGTTTTAGAAACCGGAAATGAGGTAAACATCGCGAGCCTGGAAAAGGGGAATAATTTCCGTCGACTGGGAGATCGAACGAATAAGGGTTTATCGGTGATTCTACTTCCGGCTCTTTGTTGAGCCGAGCTATCTGCCAAGCGTTGGTTGCAAAAAAAATAGCCCGGGACGCCATTGAGAAGAAAGCAGAGCCTTTCTCTGTTCCACATATAATTACGAATATTTTTGCCCCGGGTATGGCAGTGATCCTACGAAAACAGAAAGCAAGGGAATATGTCTCTTAGATCTCCTCAGACAATAATGGGACATTCTGTTTTAGGGAGCCTCTGTAAAGGACACGCTCCAGCAACGGGCATAGGAGGTTATGTGCAAAACAAAGTGCAACAGCGGTACAGTTAAAATGAAATTAATCCCCAACTCAACGCCGTAGTAACAAAGGTTTCTGGTGCTGATCATCACCTCAAGGGACTGATCAGTTTTTACTTGGTCCAGGAATGATTGAACTCATTGTATTTTGATTAAGCGCCATCAAGTCGTTTTCGACTCCCAGCGACTACATAGATAGATTTTCTCCATGAATGATTAATAATGAGTACGGTATTAGATGACCGTATAATTGCAAAGGTCCTTGGACTAGCGCAGCATAAAAGAACTTAGTCTTTTTTAGTAACTGAGTCTAAAATATGCATTTGCTATTTTGGCTTATATATTGTTCTTTGAAGGTACAGTAAATTTATTTTGTGAAGATGGCACAAGTAATATTTATAATCCAGCAATGGGATTTTAAGTCCTATTTATTAAAGTCATGGATGCAAATTTCTCCATCAACAAATATGTTCGTTAGTATTCAGATCGTAAACTCTGTTCTTTAAAAAAACATGAATTTTAAGGAATCTAGCTTTCAGCTCCCAAGAACATTGCAAAATGTGACTCTCCCAGAAGGATTCTCAGAGGGTACCAATTCATGGCATCCCACAGTAGAAGTAGCAGTGTCAGTGAGCCTATCTTGGCCAGCGGCACATAAGAACACCACTTTGTATTTTGAATGCAACTGACTGCGAAGTTGTACTTTGCTGCTATCTCTGTAAGCTTTTATGAATATTGTTCTGCACATGAACTACATTGCTGATAAATATACAAAACTATGTTTAATGCAATTATAATTTACTTTTTCCTGTTCCTATTAGAAGCTAATCATTTGGCTCCTTCCCCACCATCTAATCATTTGGTTACTTCCCCACCCAGCAACACAAGCAGTTTGTTAACCAAAGGCTCAAGATTGGGTAAATGTAGTATTGACTCATTTTATTGATATTAGACATGCCTGAAGTCCTTTAAGTCATATTGCAATGAGTCTTCTCTTATTTTGATGTGTGGCTTTGAATAGCTGTTTTTGTATCTTCAGATGCAAGTTTGGTATCCTCATCATTGGCTCTGTGGCACAATTGCATGGCCCTTCCTTCTGAAGAATGTTTGACCAGTGTCCATAAGCAGCAGAGGAAAACGAAAAATGACTTGGTCACGGAATTATCATGAATAGCAGACAAAAGGATTCAGACAGTAACCGACAGAATCCTGTCATCTCTGAACTGGTATGCCACAGCAGAGCTGCAAGACCGTGAGAGGGATTGTGCCAACACTGTACAAATCCTGGCAAGCATGCAGCGTCAAATTGAATTGTTGGTGTAGATACAATCTGCTGAACAGATTCTAATCTCTACAGCCCCTTCACAGCCACATTCTGCAATCTCTTCTCTCTCTTGCTCAGGGGCCCCCAGGTGGGCACTGATGCCCAGGATCAACCTCAGGAGAAAGCACAGAAGTACAGCCCTTAATCATCCTATTCAATGTGGTTTCTGATAATCCTTTTTTTTTTTTATGGCGGATGTTTTTACCTCTCTGTTCTTTCCCGTCTTCTATCATATTTCTGAAAATAATATATAAGCTTTACACTCTCAGTCCCCTAGCCCTATTACCTTATATTTGCAGCTTCATGTTCAACTTATGCCTGGGTAGATGCAATAGTTAGAATGAGTTGCAAATCAAAAGTCTGTGTCTTTCATTTGATGCTTTGCCCTCTTTAATAGGATAGCAGTAGATAACCATCTCTGTGCTTGACAATTGGGCATATTAAATGGCACAAGAGGCAATAACTTTATTATATTTTAGTTTCTTTTGTAATGGCAAAGTTCTGGGTTTCCGCTTGCTTGTATTACATTCAGGTTTTCAAACAATATTTATCTCCCTCTTTTTCTGTGTATGTACAAGATTCTCAGCAATAATACATTCATTCTTGCCTGTCATAAATAACACAAGTAGGTTGATATTCCAGACTGTCTTGGAAACTAGATGAAAAGTGATCTAAGTAGAAAAGAATAGTCAAGAAGCACAAATCTGGCCCGGATACAACCTGAAATACAATGAAGGGAGGAAGAAAAATGTCCAGATGAGAATTGTCTGGAGGTTGAGTCATGGCAACTGGACTTCTTTTCTTTTTGGTTAGAAACGTTTCGCTACCTCTCCAAGCAGCTTCTTCAGTCTAAAAAAGTTGGTTAGGGGGACCCCATAAAAGTCTTCCAGGGTGTCTGTGTTTCTTACTAGCATGATAGGCTCGTTGAAGGGACATTTGGAGATGTGATTAGTAGAGTCTTTGAGATGTAGATGTCTTATTCCTAGTCCCTCACTCATCCCCAAGGGGATGTTAAGTGTTGGCTTCCTGGTGAACCTTTGAACTTAATCTTCCTGGGGCTGTGGAAAGGGCAGCCTGGAAAATAGAAGACAAGTTGTGTCTGATGCCTCCACCTCTATTGAGGGAAGGATTTTCCACTTTGGCATAAATGGATTCCTTCACTCCTCTTTCAAAGCAGCTATCTTCTCTGTCCAAAATGTGAACATTACACCCTAAAGATCGAATACCAAGACCTAAGAAGAACAATGTAGTATATGCAATCCAGTGCAGTGAGGAATGCTCAGAGCTCTACATTGGG